CAGACGGCGTAAGAGGGGGGATCTGCTTGGAATCTGAAACGTCGCTCCAAGTTGCCCTTCCTCGCCCTCCAATCCCTCACGACACTCGATTGGGTCAACGGCAAGCCACCCTGCAGCAGAACAACCCGACGCCATACCTTTGACACGGAAGATGGCAAACCTTGGCTCGGTGATTAATGTCCTTCCACGTAAACTGTACTACTGAGCTCCCTTTCTCTCCTTTTTCCCCTTTCCTTTTCTTATTTTCGCTGTCCGGATTACTCGAAAGGGGGAGGCTGGACATGTCAGCTCTTCTACTTAGCCATAACCAGCCCCTCTCGGTTACGTACAGGGCTACAATGACGACTCAAAAGTAAGATGCATGTATATGTATTTACTAACGTCACTGCAACCTCTTCGCCAAGACCTTTTCCATGTGGACTTTCATCGTGTTACTATCTATGTAGCTTCGCTGTAGAATCGAAGCGTTTCAGATCTAAGAAACACAGTTTTCTCTTTTAAGACGTAGTTTAAATCCCCATTCACCGGCTTGGGTTGCCTTTCATCCATACGCGCACAGACAGGATACTAGTAGAAATACCCAGTCGTCCCCGATATCAGTGGATATCAAGTCTATATTTAACTTTAAAGGGCTTGTCTTCCATGTCAACCAGACCAGACCAACGACAAGACCTAATTCATGCGTTCCTGAACACTTCAAACAACCCTTCGAGGCATTCTCGTCCATTTGATCTCTCATCTCTAGTTTCATCCCTTCCCTGCCGTCGAGCTACGCCTCGCTTAAGCAGCACCGCACCCACGGCTATGTACCTATCTATGTAAATCCCAGCCCTCTGATCGACACTGCTGCATGATGCCATATCTCTAATCTTTCTATTTCTGTTCCGCGCCAGCGCACCTCCAACGAAACTTTTTTTTTCTTTTCTTGCGTAAAACGCACGGACAACCGCCGACGGACAACTGTTAAACAATGGGGATTTACATATGTCGAAATGTTTAAGGCCGATATGCTAAATGGCGTCAATGAGACATGTCATATTGTCGTTCCAACACAGTTTCTTAATTGCGAACCCATACCTATAAGTAGGTACCTAAGGTAGATCACGGATACCCACCCGAATAGCGGATATTGATCGGAAATCGCGACATATGTTAAATACAAGCACCTAACGTAAAGCCTTGATCAGGTAGCAATCATAGCATTTTTGGTCAACTCCCCTCCTAAACTTGTATCTGGCGTCAAATTACGAATATGGACCCCCTTTCAATATGACCCTCTCGGGAATTTAGACATCTGATATATCAATTTGAGTGAACTCATATTCACGTGATTTACGATATCCATAATAATCAATATCAAAACCAAAAGTGAAGTTGTAGATATGGGTATCAATTTCTCTAACGTGCTATCGTTCTTTCGGGGCAACGAGGAAACACAATCCTATCTGATATACAATACCGCTCCCGGCAACATATCGCAAGAATTATTAGACCTACGAGTAACGACCTTCTGTATTACAGAGCCCACTCGCCCTTGTCGTCGTCTGCCGTAATGAAGGGCTCGTCGATACGCTTAATAGCATAGTCGCTACATAGGATACTACACGACTCGTTAGCTTTGCGACCCTGTTTCGTTGAGCGGAACGGCTCGTCAACTTACCATGCTGAAGCTACTAGAGCGTCTAGTTCCGCGACCATGGCATCCTTCCTAGCACCGCTGACGAGTCCTTTGCTAATCTGCACCTGACACTCTTTGATACGCCTACTCTTGCTGACACCCGCCTGCTCCAGCACTTTTCTCCCGAGGCAGTCGGAATGGAATGCATGTTGACACGGGAAGACGAAGAATTGTCTGCTGAGGAGGGGCAAGGCGCATACGTAGCATTTCTCGCCCGGCTCGACGATGGCATAGCGGTGATCGAGGCTAGAAATATCAATCTTGATGTTGGCGGCCGTCTGAGAGCTCTCATCCATCTCCTTTTTTAGGCTGTCGATATTACGCGAATAATCTTCGAGCGCGTCGCAAATTTCATCCTTGAAGTCATCTATCACAACAAAGTCAGGGAAGAAAGGGATTAAATCCTCGATCTTAAGGAGGTCGCAGCGTTTTAGAAATTCGATGGCTGTCTTAATGCCGTTGGACTGTGAGATGACCTTACGAGCTACCGCGAGCCACAACTTCTTTCGCAGAGCAGGGTTAGACATAGGTCGGTCCGCAATTATAGAAGCGTATTCCACCTCGTTATGTGAAAGTGCAAGGTCTACGGCTTGGACATACTGCCCCATATTCGTGTAAATATGTACGCACGAGAGGGTCCGTTTATGCTGTATACACAACCGAAGGGCAAAATCGGGATCGAAATGAGGTTCTTCGCCTTGGGATTCGAGATATGCTAGGAGTCCTGACTCATCTTTGGACGCATGCGACGCGTAGATAGAGACAAGAGTATTATGGACAGCCGCATCTACGGAATGGAGCTGGTTAATGACGAACTGTAGATACCTGATAGCTTGGTTTTGGAGGAGTGTTCCTTTGAAAGTCCTGTTGTAGTCGAGGAGCGCTGGGATGATTTTACGCGGCTCGAGTTTAGGATGTCGCATCATAATCTCGACTAACTCATGTCCGACATGTGTCATTAATACGCTACTATACCGGTAGAAGACTTCTGGGTCTGTTTGCTTCTTGAGCACGTTCAGAGTTTCCGTCCATCGCTCCCTCTGTACCCAATACGATAGGACATAGTTGTAGTCGTTCACTGCGTTGGCAAAAAATAGAAGCTCATCTTCCCGAGCATGACTGCTAACGACATCGTACGTTGTTTTGCGATCGAGATCGAATTTGTGTTTATTAACGAAGTCCTGGAACTCGCTTCGAACTGTGTCGAGTTGATACCGTGACTCCTTTGTGTTTCCGTTTTCGGTTGACTCGGCTTCCACAGTAATGGAATCCTCGAGGGAGTTGAGCTTCGCCATGAATATCTCGACTAGCCACGTCGCTATCATCATCCTTTGCATCGTAGATGACTTTTTGTACGTCGTTAGTTTTGTGATTAGATATTTTCGTAAGGCATCATTTTGGTTGTGATCGATGAAAGCAAGCGCAACGTCTTCAAACGGTTTGCTGCTTTTGCCATATACACCAGCGGCCTCAACGAATAGCCCCTTTTCAACAAGATAATCGCCAGACGCCATTGAAACTGCGTCTTTTTGGGCTGGAGTATGAGCATATTGCATGGCCATATCAAAGTGTTGTCTCTGTAGCATAATCCGCCATACGTCTCGATCCTCATCTCTAACAACGATCTCAAATATCTCTTGAGCGGTAAAAAGCCAGAACGTGTTTTTTTGTTGGTCGATATATAGACCTAGGGCTTTCTGTCCCTGGTCTAAAATTAATTGATCATACACAACCGACCCAGTTAATCGATTTATTGCTACGATACGACCGCCAATCAGGCCGATAATGTGCCATTGGGTTAATGAGATCGCGTCGATAGCCTCGGACGGGGTCTTTTTCCGTCCTGATGTCTCTGTTGAGACGACTTGCGACCTTGACAGGAGTTTCGACTCGGCGAACACCTTGTTTCCAAGATCATTGTTCATCGGAGTTGTTAGAAGCTTCCCGTGATAGACACCGTGTGAAGATAGCCACGCAAAGGCTCGGTCTGGAACGGCAGCCTCGTAAATATGAGAATTTGGAGGATCTGGTGAGATAGCAAGCATCGAAGGTGCGGTAGTTGAGCCTCGCGAAATTTCATGTATAATGGGTTGCTCGGAGTCGAATAACCTCGTATAGATCGAACCGCTCCCGTCATGACTACTTCGTCCAACCTTGCCTACAAGATGAAGTATACGACTCTGCGTAGTGAAAACTACTCTCCTCAGATCGACCTTCCCACCCATATTATCAACCCAAAGTCCCGTAATTGGTCCATCAGGAAGCTTGTGTAGCACCTTTAAGTATTTCTCCTCTTTCCTGTAGAACTCGGTTGAAGTTTCAATAAATGTTTCGTATATATTGCCATCGGAGGCACCTATCAGGATCTCCCGTGTCGTAGCTGTTGGTAGAGACGGGTTCCAAGCTACGGACTCGACAGAGACTCCGCGCAACCTACTTAGGGGCCGCGGTTGGCGTGACTGGGTGTGTAGGTAATAGTTCTCGCCGAGAGAAGTACATATGAGTAGATGGGAAGCCGTAGGGTCAAGGAACATGCGCCGAATGGTGCCTACTTCGGAAACTCGCCTAGGAAGGTCGATATCTACGAGTAGCTTCTGTCAGTAACAATCTAATGATAGAACCTCCATGCCAGCTCACCATCTATATCTTCTGGTCGGTTTAGATCGATGCGCAGTATGCGCCCATTAGACAAGGCTAGGACAAGCACATTATTGGCAACCTGGGCAGCGACAAAGTCGGCGGCGATGGAGAATTGGAGTTGTACCGGTTCGACATCGAATATAGGTAAACTCTCGACAGTAAGGTCGTGCACGCCGTTGGCGGCAACAAAGCCGTTGGTTGCTTCTAGCGACATCTGGAAATCTATTTGGTCATGTTGAAGAGGTTAAGTCGCGACAGGTCGCAAAGCTGTCTGTTTATCGTGGTTATATGGTGTTAGGCAGTGGTAACCTTTATTTAAGTTCTGAGCTCACTGGAGTTGTTGGAGTTGATTGAGTTGAGATGGGAGCTCAGCGGTACATGTTTAGGTACCTAACCTTTAGGTACCTATTAGATACATGGTACCGGCCTAATAGGTGTTGTACGACAAAGCGGGTCAGAGCTATCCGGACTATGCAAGTACCTAGGTAGTGCAGCAATGATGTAACTTTAAAGACAGCTGAACACTTGGAACCTTGGGAAGCGCCTCAAGATTGACATCACATCTATTTAATATACATACCTCCTAGGTAGGTAACTTAATTTGATTGTTAGATCATAGGTATATATATTATTTCGAAAGGCTTAATTCACAATATCGCAGAAGTCAAGTTCGAGAAATGGCCTAGTTATAATTTTTGGCTTCAAATTATCCCACTTATATAGTTGATGATAATCCTAAAGAGCTTATTGCTCGTATGTAATAGATCGCAACAATGCGAATACAAACAGATGGGTAGATATATACAGGGTCTCATGTTGGCCCAGTCTACCTATTTATATACCCGAAATCTCAAATACCCCAATATCCTCCATATCCTATATCCTATATCCTATTCACAAAATAACACGGGACATAAGCTAAATTTACCCAGCCTATATCCCTCCAGTTTCTCCATGGGCATTGGAGATTATATATATATGTCGAAATTGTTCTCGTTATCCATGGAGGCACGGATAACGTAAATATTTACCGATGAGATGGGTATTGGGCTCGGATCTCATTCGGTCTATGTTCGTCGGGTTCCGCTAATCTTTCATGTCGAAATTCGTTCACGACTCTCATCGTGATTTTGACATCGTGACATTAACCATCGTTGACTTTGCGGGATTCCCATATGCTAGCGTTGTGTTTGATACGCGGAACGGTCTAGATGATCTTGGTGGGTTTCCCCCCTGAGTGATCATCTGCCTTGATCTGACCGCTTCAAATTAAATATTATACCAACGGGTGCCGTTATTTTTGGTCGATTCTAACATTGCTTCAGTCGGTTGAGCGTTTTTAGTTCTAGCCTGATCGAAGCGATTTGCTGTTTGCGACGCTCGTTGGACCACGAGATGGGAATGAGCAAAAACCGCTTTCTCCGTCCGTCAAAGCATCTGTCAGATTACTTTCCTCTGCATCAGTGTCCTCCAGTATATCCAGATATTTCTCCTGTATCACAGGAATGGGTTCGCGAGACGGTAATCTGGACCACCGGTTGTATGGGCTTGGTTTCCTCCCCTTCAATACTCTGACTTTGGCAACGAATCCCTTTGCTCTCTTGGAGTTGAGTGCCATCGCCATCAGTTCTTCACCGATCTGCTCGCAAGCCAAACGGACTTGATCTGGTTCCCATCCCTTGTACTTGGTCAGAAGCCTCAGACATGTCGATTCGCATCCGTTCAGCATAGAAAGAAGCCAAAACTTTCCAGTAGAGCCGTCTTCGGTCCTTAGAGGGATAGCGTGCTCGGTTAGTTGGACGTCAACATAGCCTGCATTGACCAGAAACCTAGGTTCCAGATGGGCAACGCCACGCGGCCTCCCGTGCATCAAAGAAGCCTCACGGACGTCGTGTAATGCCTTGTGTACCAAGGACTCGGGTTCGAAGAACGAGTGAAGATTGCTCATTCCTCGATGATCATCGAAATCCAACACTTCGATCCATCCGCCGGGTTTGATACAGTGGAAAGCAGATCGGTAAATATGATGCCAATCAGAAAACGACCCTTGCAGGTCTCTTACGTGTACTAAGTCATAGTGATTCGGTGGTCGTTCCCATTCCAGCTCGGCATCGTCAATTTCCCAGAAGATATTCTGCGGAACTCGACGCTCAAAAATATTAGAGATGTCAGTTCCGGTTACTTCGCAGTCGGGATAAAGCTCAGCTATATCTATGGCCCATTCACCGACGGCAGTGCCAATATCCAGGATGTGAGTGGGCGCTTCTAAAGGCACGCTTGTTAATTCGCCGTCGAATGTTTTCAGGTAGACCTGATTCATCAGCTGCAATCGAACTTGCTCGTCGTCGTCGTTTGGCATGTAATATGCGCCGCAATACCGTCGTCCATTTTCCATCACGTAGTTGAGATCCAGTTCGTTGATTGACCGCGTTGAGTTTCTATTTAGGATTAGCATTATTCGTTACGCTGTTGTCAGCCTTGATGTGAGCTTACACGGTCCCGTCTTCTACACTATCTTCGCTCTCGACCGAATGCTCCACTCGATACACCACTGCACGGCCTCCCGGATGATGGCTTGGGGAATAGATGGAGCCAGCATCGAACTGACTTGCCCTCGTCTCATCATTCGCCTCAAATACATGACCGCTCTGTTCTACAACGCTCATCGTCCACGCACTTAAACCGTCGCTTGTGACATCTTCGGTGGAGATGTCGTCGTCCAGCTCCGGCACTGGAAGCTCGGAGCTAACTACGCTACGGCCTGTTTCGGTACTAGGGGGGCCGATAGACGAGCTGGTGGCACTAGTCCCATACGACGGCATGATTGCTGCTGGTACACGCGGTGCCGTAATCTGTCCTGTTTCGTCGCTTGTCCTTCTCTTCCTTTTCATCACAGTCGCACTAGAGGGTTCTTAGCTGTTGATGAGGCATTTGGTCGCACAGTTCCTCCTAGTTCTTCTGATGAAATCTCATGGACTACCGACGTCTCCGTAAACCGTGCGGCCCAGAGATGGGTGCGTAAGCGAAGGGGCACCTCTGTCTGACGCAGCGCTTAAGAAACTGATCTCTAGAATATTTAGCCAGTGAGGAGTTCGTAGATAATCCGATGCCGGATACATTGGCAAGCAAAGACTGTCCACAGAGTGCGCATATACTAGTTTACGATCGTCATTTCAATTCGCTTCGAGCATAGGGAGAGAAAAAAAAAAAAAAAAAAAAGCCACTACACAAGGCTTAGACAGCGGAACGGGATGAGGGACTAGACCGTATTACAAGTTGGAGGAAATGGGCTACGAGAAAGCGGAGGATAGTCACAGGCAAATATGTTAACGATTGGCTACCGACTTGATCACCACCCAGACAACGTCTACAAAGTAAGAGAAGGTAGTTGGGGGGCAACTCCTTCGATCCAATGAGCGGTCTGCCTCATTACTGTAACGTGGAGTCGTAGACAAGGGAATGAACCACATGGTCATTGCAACCCATGCCAGTGGAATCCTCCCCTATTCCCTATTCTATATTCGCCCTGCACACATTATGTCCAGGTATGTACGTATATGTGTCTGTACGTATGCATATTTGTATGCAGCCCTTCACCGTGGATGCGGACAACTACAACGCTGAAAATATGGCACCTTGGAAGAGAGTGATTGGTATTGGCTCACTCTTGACATTTACCAGAGCCAAGGGAAAGGGTCCAAGCGTTCATACTCCGGTTCTGTTTGATTGGACCCGAACGGATGGGCAAACCCGTCCGCCCCAACCCTGAGGAACCCTGTCATTCTCACTGGATGATCAGACTTGACTGCTTAAAAGGTCGCTTAAGGTCACCATCACGAGAGGAAGACTCACAAGATTGCTAATTTAGGAACAAACACACTCGTACAATGCATAAATAAATGTACTTATAGCTCTAAGTAGGAACCCGTGTCTTCTTCGTCTTATCCCTCCCACTTTTGGCGAGCGACAGAAACGTTGGTGCATATGCCCTTGAGGAATGTCGAGGTTTCGGCTCTCCGCTGTCGATTTTATTGGACAAACAGCCGACATTATGTAGGCAACAAAGTACATATGTCCCCAGTTTGACAGGCTGGTCAGTTGAAAATCCTGGCCTTGGAAAGTTTTCAATCGAACCATGGACCCCCGGCTGCAGTCGTGATATGCTGGAAGCGATTTCCGGTTCGGACGTGCATCGCTAATAATCCCCGAATAGGAGAGAATTACAGAATATGATGATATTTCCATGCGTATATCATGCAGGCCAAAGCGCGATTAGCAGACCGTCTAACCACAACCTTCACTTACACCTAGACATTATCACAATATGTTATAATGTTATAGTTACCTCTAAGTTTATTGCAAATTTATTACAAGCTCATCATGACCTCTAATCTAGCTTTATCGAATACCTGATGAGAATCATCCGTTCAAGTAGCAATGGGAATATTCTTCACGCCGCTTGCATCTTCTTCCGTCTATGACGCTACTTAAAGCAACACACTCTATAACTTAAAGTCTTGGGGTTCATTGCGCAGATCAACCCCAATTCCCACCACCGCATTTTTCCTTATGGTAGTGCCGGATAACCTATGGAGGTTCTTGCGCCCATCTAGAACCGGACTCCAGTCGTATAACCACTACCCAGGCGACTTCCGTTTCTTTGGTAACTGAGGCTCGTCACAAATCTCTTCCTTGTCAGATACCACTTCAGCTTCAACGACAATCGGGAAAGGGCTGAGGACTTTGCTAATGTCACCCCACCATTCTTCGCCGAACCGTTTATACCAGTCAACAGTGATCTTTAACCCATCAGCGAAAGAGGTCTTCTGATCCCAACCGAGATGTCGGAGTTTAGTAGCGTCGATGGCGTATCTATGATCGTTGAATGGTCTATCGTGCGTATATTTAACCCACTTGTTGAAGTCTTCTTGACTCTCGTGAGGGATGTCCATCTCTTTCAACACCATCTTACATAGCTGAATGTTAGAAATCTCGTCGTGTGATCCTACATTATAGACCTGGCCGAGGGTGCCTTTATGTAGGATCGTATCAAACGCATCAGCCGCATCGCCAGCATATAAATATCTTCGGGTAGGGCTCCCATCGCCGTGGAGCACCGTCGGCCTCTGACGATTCAACAAGCAGATGAATTTAGGAATTATTTCTGCATCGTGGTAAGTTATGTGCGTGTTCTCGTGTGTTGTTTGAATCTGTTTCTTACTTTCGGGAAATTGATGTGGCCCGTAGACGTTATTGCTTCTGACAATAATGACTGGAAGTTTGAAACTCTTCATGTAAGAGTTTACAAGCATTTCGGCGGCGGCTTTGCTCGCGGCGTAAGGATTAGTTGGAGATAGAATACTCGCTTCCATTAGATCATCATCGTCGTCTTTTACCTCGCCATATACCTCATCAGTAGATATGTGAATAAATCGCTTCACTCCAACCTTCTTCGCGCTCTCTAGCATAACATGAGTGCCGTACACGTTCGTGTGAGTAAATCCATACGAGTTCCCGAAACTCAAGTCGACGTGTGACTGAGCTGCAAAATGGAATATAGTATCGATGTTGAAGCGCTCCATACAATCGAGCACTTCGGAAGGGTTGGTGATATCTCCATGGTAGAACGTAAAGTTTCGCTTATCATTGAGCATACGGGTGTTGTTCAATGATGAGCAATAATCCAATTTATCAAAGGACACAATATTGTAGGCTTCGGGGTAGGTCAAGGTGAGATGACGGACGAGCCAACAAGCTCTTCGGACATTTATTAGCTGTAATGTGGAACCTTGAGGCTCATGGAAACTTACATAAAGCCGGCACCACCAGTGATCATAATATTCTTGACATCCGGCAAGGCCTCAAACTTTGTGGACCCGGTCAATACAGGAGCCTGCTTCCAAATCCCATAATCCTCGAAGAACCTAGGCTTCATGGCCTTATTATTAGGAGCTAAATACGCAATGTGGTAAGTCGTCTCGGTCAGCATCGGGTGACGTTGCGAGCAAGCACTTACACTGCACCCCATTGGTGCCGTTTAGGTGTGGCGCGGTCATAGCGTGCAGAATGAGAACCCAGAAATTCGCCGGTGGATCAGTCCGAGGCTCGAAAAGTGTATGAATGAAATGTCCTTTGGGATCCTTTGAGTAAGGAAGAGGTCAGACGTGTGATATGATCCGAATAATTAGGAGAAATGTGTAACAAGGTCCGTTCTGTTCTTCGTCTAGCACAGGAGGGTTTCCGGGGTGGACAGATGTCCAGATGCAGATCTTTTGAACAGCCGGTTGCAGGTTGCAAGTCGCAAGTCGCAAGTCTCGAGTCGCAACTCGATACAAGACAATCTCTAGCTTGTCCGACAACCTAACTCCCAGAAACCGGGAACGAAGTACGCCAACGCAAGAGCAGCTAGGTTATACCCATACGATTAGTCTTAGATTCGGCCATTCGTGAACATGTAGAAGTACACGTTAGACAATAGGTCGATAAGACTTGGCTAGGAGCGCAGTCCGACTAAGAGATCTGGCAATAGGTATTATACCTTGCTATACTCGGCATAAAGACGCAATAGCCGGCTTATGGTCGAACCTCGTAAAAAATGAAAGTCGTAGCATAAACAAATCTCGTCAGTCTAGACAGGTTTACATATTGAACCGAATCAATCAAGTTGAAACAAATGACGGCGCGCGTCTTTGAACATTTAAGATAATTTAACAAGACTATCGATCGGCAGCGATCGGCCATGAGGTTAGGCAGGTACACGGGCAACTTTGTAGCACATAGACCCACATGCAGCCCGCCGGGCCACACCATAATGTACAGTACCTGAGTACATACATACATGTAAGATGTAACTTGAATATTAAACATTGAAGCTCCTAGGTAATGGGCAACATACCAGCATATCAAGTGTATATAAGTCATAGCTAAATATATCAAAACATCCAAGCCGTTAGCTTACGTGTCATAATTACAAGATGCCCAGGTGAGAATTGAGTTGGTATGATTAAATCGTATATTCATATCTCGCCTACTCTCCCATTTCTAATTACATCTACCTACATGTAGGTAATTATATGGCAATCATAATCCTCCTTAGCCCACATTGTGACACCCTCGGCCCAAGAAGTGTAGCACTTACCCACTGTTTATAGGCAAAGGTAAGTAATTATTCTCCGGGGAAAGATCAAACACTCAAGTTACGATGCTTCAACAAAGTATCCGTAGCGCCGGGTTTTTATATGCAGATATTGAAAATATATAGATGATAGTTTAAATCCTAATCATCTACCTAGATACCCTAGAGATATAGCTACAATGTTCGCACCTCTTCTTACATATTAGAGTTTCGTCAGAACAACTACCTAATATCATCCCATGAATAGGTAGACCTACCCAACCTCAAGGATGCCTATCTGCCTATCCCGTAAGCAGGTAGCTTGCATGGTGCCGTTTGCTACCTCCCGTCTTATATCATCATGCTTGCTATCATTGTTAAAAAAGCCAAGTGGATCAACCTTGTATCAACCTACCTAAGCATATGTGCAGTAAAACGATTGGTGAATTGGTTGAGAGATGGCAACATTGAAGTTAGAAAGTCCATTCTGTTTTTGTTTTCAATCATGGGAAAGTGCATGTAAGTTGATACAACGAAAGTTTGTGCCTATGTACATATTTGCCACGAGCTTAGAGCAGGTAGGTACATTCAAGTATAATTCAGATCCATTTATTAAGCTGCCAATCCTGCATTCCATTATCCTGCAATTCAAACAAGTCGGCTGCTCGGCACCCCCTTGTAACACGCGATTTAAACAGGTTATCTCATACCTCTTGGAAAGCCACCAGCAGGTAGGTACTTCCACTTACATGCTAGGCACATAAAGTTTAGTGGACTCCACGTTCCGTTCCCGCCTGGAGATCGGCTAAATAGCAGCTATGTAAAATAGCAGCCAGTGCGACCAAACCACCAATAATCTGTTCTGGAATCTGTTCTGGAATCTGTCCATCGTCACCAATACTACCTAGGTGGTCATCTTGCGCTTCGAGAACAAGAGGATACTTTTACTCACTTTCCTTTATCATTGAGCCCAATAGTATCTCTCTCCACATGCTTAGATCTACCAACTGTGGGCGACGGGAACTTGGGCAGGTCCCGTCACATGTCTTGCGCCGCTCGATATGGCATCTTTAAGTGGTCACCCTGCACGGCCCTCATCCGCTGCTTCGTCGTCCACAGTAAATCCAAACGATAATGAAGGATTCGGCAGTTTCGATGGCATTGATAACGATTACAAGTCTCAGCGCATCGCTGCAGGCGAAGATAATGCTAAAGACATCGAGGAAGGTGATGGACTATTGGAGAAGGGAACGGACTACCAAGCTACCCTGAGTCCCCCAAATAGTCGTTTTGGCTGGGCTGTTTTCTGGATAGTAGTAAACACTCTAGCGACGATAGGCATTGTATGCTTTCCCTCTCGTTTCTATCTTACGGGTGTAACTAACTTTTATAATCCGCTAGGTTTTCACAAACAAGGCCATCTTCTCGGATCCGTCTTTGAAGCTTGTGCAGTTAACATTTGCTGCTTTTCACTTCTTTATGACGTGGTTGCTTCTCTTCACATTGTCGCGGCCTCGTTTCGCGTACTTTAGTCCTCGCCGTATCGCTCTGCGAGATATCATCCCCCTCTCTGTCGCCATGTCGTTGAACGTTATCCTTCCAAATTTATCGTTGGCCTTCTCTTCCGTTACTTTCTATCAGGTTGCGCGCATTCTACTTACTCCGACTGTTGCAACTATGGATCTTATTTTATATAGGTCCATGTTGCCTCGAAACGCCATTCTAGCTCTTATCCCTGCTTGCTTAGGTGTTGGTATGGTTTCTTACTATGACTCGCTCCCGACAAATGACGCCAATGTAAAGAGCACGTCAAGTTTAGGCGTGCTATTCGCCTTTAGTGGTATATTTGCTTCGTCGCTATATACGGTATGGATCAAAAGCTATCAGCGAAAGCTAAAAGTGTCGAGTATGCAACTACTCTTCAACCAGGCGCCCGTTTCAGCATTCCTCCTGCTTTATGCTATCCCTTTCGTGGATACATTCCCTACCTGGACGGAAGTCCCGGCGGCTCGGTGGTTCATGATATTGACGGTAAGATGAAGAGACATATGCAATATTGAAGTTTGTGCTAATATTACAGTCTGGCGTATTTGCTGCTTTGATCAACCTGTCGCAATTTTTCATTATCGGACAAACAGGTCCAGTTTCGAGTACTGTTGTCGGGCATCTAAAAACGTGTCTCATAGTGGCACTAGGCTGGGCTACATCTGGCAGGTCTGTCGGTGACAAATCAATCATAGGCGTTCTTATTGCGATAGGGGGGGTTGTCACGTAGGTTGACATGAATTTTCTAGACATTAATTTCGATTTGCTAAATATGACTTAGGTACTCAGCTGTGATGCTACGGCAGGCAACTCGCGGTTAAAGGCAACGAAATACCAAAGGGGGTTATCGTTCCGTGCAGCAGCCAGGAAGATAGAGCTATAGTTCCAATGGGCTACTAGAAGCTCATATATATATATTATTGATCGTATGGTTCTAGGCGTTAGGACGGTATACGGAAGGCCTTTACGATCGGTGTGCTAGTATTTGTTAGCAGGTCTCGATGGTACTTGAAGGCGTCGTAAGGTTTCCGAGGGAATTGCGGGAAGTAGGTGTACAATACGATACCCATCATACACAGAAGTGTTGGCTAAGATATTAGAGCGATACTTAATAGACAGCAGTTATGCTTCTCGGATACTATAAATATCCTCCCGTGTTTTTCTTATTTATCTGGGATTACAACGCCAATGGATCTCAGTGAGGCAGCTGGGCATATGCTAAATATAAGTTAAGTAGGTAGGTACCTATTAAACTAGAACCTGAGTGTGTAGTCAAATTAACCCGTCGAGTCGGGTGGGAGCCTGCATAGTAACAAGTTCTACAGTCGAGAGTCCAAGTTGTATCGATATAACACTATGACTTAGTATCTACATGTGTTGATGGCCACGCAAATATGATCCTGAATCTCCATGTCGAACTCCTAATATTTTCAACGCTCTTGTGCTGAACCTTAAGGCCCATCTTCTTCATGGCGATGCGCATCGGCATCGGTCACAATGAAAATAAAAGGACAACAAAAATTGCACTCGCTACGATCCACGAGGGATAATAGAAGAGGGTCAACTCCGCGCTGTGCAATGCAGGTTTCTCCCCTTAAGAATCCTCATTCTTGAGCGGAGATTCTTTGAGCAAGGTAAGTATGAAGAAGAAAGGAAAAGATAAATTAGAATGCGGACAGAGGAACTGGAAATATATGTAGGTGGGATTGGCTAAATTGGTGGGGTACTGTTGCTTAGGAAGTACCTGGAGGCTGGCAGCCACCTGCCATAACAATGATGACATAATTCTGGCTGCCTGCCCCACCGTTTTAGACATAGGTTTTATTTATTGATGAGACCTTCTGCGTTTCCTTACATGTCTTGTTTTCTTCAGCTCTCTTTGCCTTTTGGCTTAGATCAAGTGTAGTATCTGTTCTTTTCAGTTTAATCTCTGGAAGAGTCACACGATGACTTAATCTTTGATTATTCTTATTTTTGCGCGAAGGGAGCGCATCCTCTGTGCTTGCACATGATCGCTCCCTTTGTATCCCTGGTATCACACTGCCTCCAGGCGATGCAAACGTTGACTTTCGTTGCTTTCTCTAGCAGGCTCTAGGGTTGTGAAGAAGGTTACTTGCTATTTATTTGATTTATTTTTATTTTTATTAGGTACCTATCTAGGTACATATGTATTGATATGTGTACATATATCAAGAGATCACCCGAAGTCCATTAAGATAATGATAAAGCTACGTCTAGCTTCGAAGGCTACCTGGGTAACTATTCCGTGGGAAAATTCCATCTATGAGATGATAGGCGGTATTTAATTCTACCAACATAGTGTTCCCTATGCTAAGCTTAAAACCCCAACACCAAATTTATAGAAATATAGCCGCGATCCTTCGACATTGTCACTCGGGCCATATGAATTATCAATGTGAGGCTCGTGTCGGAGCTCGGCTTATGCACATATGTATTGTAGACTGTAGTAGGTACCTAAGCTTGGCGCTAACTACGTTTGGACCTATAGATCTCTTAGCTTAGGTACTATCTACGCTAAAAAGGTTAGCGTATATTGATAAGCACGGCCCAAGTGCCATTAAGACATGACCTCACCCAGCAGTCACATCCTACTTCGTACTTCTGTACATAGTAATTGCACAAGGCTTCCGGTTTCCACCATCCCACAGCTACATATCAGACCCCCCCCCCATAAGCTCCATTCAATAAACCTACGGAGCGCATATTGTCTCTATTTTTGATACGTTCAAGTATCTCGAAACTACACGGGGGCTTCAAGATAGTATTGGCACAGGCCCATTCTTCAGAATTGACGTTAAGAGTACCTAATTCTCAGCTTGCGCTCGTTCATCCATTCTCCCCCTCCCCCACATTCGCCATTATTTGTTGCCGAACGTCGCAACGCCCTGGCGACTATATGCGTATAAGTTTACCTGAGAATCCTCACTATTGAACACTTATAAAGTATAGCTTTGTCTGGTGCGCTACCGCAGACGCAAGTGAATCACTATGTGGAACGATGAGGAAGACAATAACCCTTACGGCACGAGCTTTGAGCGTCGTGATTCCATCACATCCTCTTCTGCGCACCCTACTTCTCCTGGTTCTCACGACTGTAAGTCAAGCCCACATTCTTCTTACCCTGCCTGGATCGAGGAAAAATAATGTGGGAAAACATAGCGTTGGATGACTCTCCTGACGAGGCTGATCCCGACTGGGAATATGTAGACCAACATCGCCCGAGCACCCCGTCTTCTACCAGCGAAGATGTTCCGCTACCTCCTACCTACGGGCAGCAGCAGATTACTGACCCCGATAGCGATGATGAATATGGGACTCAGAATAGCCAGGCGCAGCGAAGGAAACCAGGTGGTTATGATAGCCGGATTGAGCAGATTCTCTACGAAAATCCAGAGCTTCCCATCCTGATCACGGATGCTGGAAAGAGTATGGAGAGCGGCGGCAAGTATATCGTTTATACGATCAGAACAGGGGTACGTCTCTATCCGGCTTAGCAGCAACTTGTCATGCTCATATGGGATTTAGGACCTTGAAGTCCGGCGTCGATACTCGGAATTTGCGTCACTACGCGATGCGCTGACTAGGCTTCATCCTACCCTTGTTATTCCTCCGATTCCTGAGAAGCATACAATGGCCGATTACGCTGCAAACCCAACCAATGCGAAGCAAGACCAGCAGATTATCGACTTGCGAAAGCGTATGTTGGCTGTCTTCTTGAACCGCTGCCGGCGGATGGAACATATTCGAGACGACGGGGTCTTATGGAGGTTCCTCGACCCGAATGTTAGCTGGGTATGCGCGCATTTATGTCGCCCTAGCGCATTCTTACGACTAACCTGATAATAGAATGAAGTGCTACATTCGCATCCTATCTCATCTATTCCGAAGTCGATTATGAAAGCACCACCGCTAGATACAGCAAACCCTACGCCGGCGCACTCATACCTTCCGGTGCCGGCTGCCTCAGCCAAGCTAAAGACGCCCGTGAATCCACCTCCAGGTCCGGTATTTGACAGTTCTAGTACCGTTGCTTCTCAGATCCTCCGCCGGTTCCCTCCTGAAGCTCATGGTTTAAACGAACAGGAATTAGATCCGTACTTTATCACCTTCGAAGCATCAATCAAAGAACTAGAGCAAGCACTAATGGGACCGATGGAGAAAGTCAACAGGCGTACACTCAACCACTTAAGTTCTCTAGCAACAGATCTTTCAGATTTAGGTGCCAAGTATAATGCTTTTGCGCTCTCCGAGCCGTCCCCGTCCTTAGCTGCGGCTATTGAGAGAGTAGGTCAAGCTGCAGATTCGTCATACATCGCGACAGAGGAATTGTCAAGTTCGCTTGGGGCGAGCTTCGCCGAACCCATGAGAGAAAGTGCCCAATTTGCGGGGGTTGTTCGTAACGTACTACGGTACAGGATTCTGAAAAGAGTCCAGCAAGAAATGGCCAACGACGAGCTCCTCAAGAAAAAGGCTCTCTTAGAGCAGCTAGAGAGTAGCGAGGCTGAGGCAAAGCGAATTGACCAGTATCTCAGCAGCAGCCAACAAATAGGGGGAAGTTATCAAGTCCACGCGCCTCGAAGGTCGGTTAGTATGAGAGAAACCTCAACACCGCACTATAGAGAAAGCAGTGGGGAGGATACAGCATCCATTGATTCAGACTTCCCTCCAAGCCATGCAGATGTTTCTTCAGCCCCTTCGGCGAGAGTGGGAGTTCCTGAGAGGTCAACCTCTAGTTCGAACCATAAGAAGGTCCCTAGTGGCAACTCTATCACCAATAAGATCTTTGGTCCGATACGTCATGCGATACAAGGTGTTGCTGATGTAGATCCAGAGAGGACTCGGCGTGACGCCATAGGAAAGACACGCGAGAGTATAGAGCAACTAGAACAAGCTCAGGTAGCGGCGGCGCAAGATGTGAGGGACGCGAGTGCAAGCATCCTGCAAGATCTAAAGAGGTTCCAAAATGAGAAAGAAGATGACCTCAAGCGCTATATGGTAGGTTTATCTAACTATCCATCTCGAACCTATTATTGCAAGATAACTGATAATGAATTCAAGCTTGCCTATGCGAAGAGCCAAATCGAATGGGCGAGAAAGAATAAAGAGACGTGGGAGGAGGCGAGAGCCGAGGTTGAAAAGATCGATGAGACGTAGAGCGTCCAGAGGAAAGACCGGCGGGTGCTAAAGCGCCCTACGGCTAAGGCACGGGTCTTGCCAGACGATGATTACATTGTTTTATAATGCTACGATGGTTTGCCTCATTCGGAATGGATAATCAATAAGACGAACATAACCGATATATCACGAGAGCCTGGCCGGATTATAATTTTAATGGAGTAAGGAGTCTACAAGGTGACTCGAGGTTTTGTCTTCAATATGATTACCTATTACGCCAAAACTATAAGCTCACAGCAATAACACCGAGGATCGAGAGATTGGGACTCTAAACTCCAATTAGGTAAGTCAAGGGTCTGGGCAAGTAATTTGTAGCCTCTTAACACTCTATACTATTATCATAACTTGAGTATACTACTGCGGGCCACGGACCAGTGCTCTTCACATATACGTTATGAAAAATTATAGGTCGAGGGGGTGGATCCGCTAAATCAGTACAGACACTGAGTGACGTTCTCCTTCGACTTGGTTAACATTAGGATTCCAACGATGACGCCGTAAAGACCAAGGACTTCGGCGAAGATTAGGATTAAAACCATGCCGATGTAGAGTCGCGGCTGCTGACTACTAGCTCTTACTACGGTTTTATCAGTCATGGTAGCATTCAATTGTAATAACCCCTTAAGAAAAGGGGCGGAGAAAAGACTTATATGTAAAAGACTGACCTCCCGCATCCCCAACTATGCCGATGGCGAATCCAGCCGCGAGGCCACTAAGCCCGACGCTGATACCGGCGCCTAGCTGGAGGAAGCCCTGGTGCAAGGGCATCTTCTCGACTAAGTCGCCCGAGATGATAACGCTGGCTACCAGGCCGTAGATGGAGAGGATCTGAGCCATGATCGCACAGAGCCTGCGCGCGTACACGTGGCGACTCGACGTCAGCATTTCTCCTTCCCTAGCGCCCCAAGGCCTATAGCGATATTTTTCGAGGCGGGGTGTGGAAGGGAGGGGGAGCGTACGTGTTCTGCATCAGCCGACCTGGGCGGATTATCCCCGAGGAGAATATTGCCCCGGCTGACTTGGCGGTGCCGTAGGATGCGCCCAGGACTGTGAAGATGATGGAGGCTGCGCAACCCATCGCTCCGAAGAAGGACTAGGGACGCGCGAGGTTAGATATGTCGTTGTAAGACGTAGCGAGTTGATGGAATAGGGCTAAGGGACTCAGCACGTACAGCGTATACTGGGCTGTATAGATGATTATTTAGTCAGCATGTGATGTGTCTAGTTGGATCTAGTAAGGTGTAAGAGACGGACCAGCGAGCCTCGTAGACCGCATGGGCGAACGCGGTATTCATCTCGGATAGTATTGTCTGCTGGGCCATGGAAACCAACGTAACTTGATTGCTGTAGATGTACGACTTCAATATGGTGAGGTGGGTTTATTCACTTTAAACAAGCTATCGTAGCAGGTAGTAAAAGCTAAGAAATACCTTCCCCTCATTTGTAGGAAGCAACATCGAATATATTCATGTGGTATACTACGTTGAACAAGTCCTAGGCTAATCATCTAGACAAGGTAGCTTGCAGGCAGAAGAATAAGCTGCTGGTTGATTGGCTGTTAGGACATGCCGTGTAGGTATCTTCAGGTAAGCATAGTAATGAGAAGCGAGGAGAGACTTCGTCTATAGGACTAATTGTAGTCGAATGCTAGTGGCTTCATTATTAAACCGAGTTGTGATAGGCACGGAGGTTAATCATGGGGCTTCCTTGGTGGCGTCCCTAAAAAGCCTCAACTGGAAGCCTCATTGTGTATAAGGTTTAAGGACTATTACGTAGGAAGTAGTACAAGTTAATTGGTGACTAAGAATATTAGACTCAGAGGAAGGTTCGATATGATTTCCGCAATTATTAAGCCCTAACCTAGGTATTTCAATTCCCTCGGGTGTCACTTGGGGATTCTGGATTTCCTGGTATTTGGGACAGCACTTTAATACATATGACTAGCTCTTCCGGCTTGCGCGTTCTTACGTGTTCTTTCGCAAAGAGCCTCAATTGGGAAACTAATGCGCGTTTACAATTGTTATGTCACTGATTCTCGCTTGAACCTAACAAAAGCATCTCCGTTATATCCGTCTGGGTATGCGCCAAGCGGCTCTTCACTGGCCTCAGCCTTGCGACTAATTAAATTTATTAAATTTCGTCCCATGCCAAGAAGACCGTTGGATATTGTTAGTCTGTTGGACCATGGTGAGAAGGGAAAGATGCCCGGACACCGTTACTTTGTATCGCTAACAAGATCTAGGCATTCCGGCACTAGAGTCTAGAGAGCTATTTTGAGCTCAGTGAAACAATAACGATTGGGCGGCTCTACGGGATCCGTGCTTAGGGCTGTTTGACGTGTTGCTTGGAAGCCCCTTCGAAAAATGGACAGAATGGACAGAATGGACCCAATGGACCCAATGGACCCTTGTTCAACAACTTGATACTGCCAAACGTATCAGGATGCTAATGTCTTTTTTAGAGCCTTGCTCGTCAGAATCATGCTATATGGTGGTTTGCTTACGTCGACAACGAAGAGCTAATTAGCTCACTGCGGTCACTGGGCAAACAGACCAGCTTTATTTCTTACGAATGACTATTCACAGCCCCTGACTTCTTTGAGGGGAGGTAGTCAGCGATACCTAGCCGAGAATTTGGATGGACGCGCGTCAGATGTGCCAAGTCTACACGCTATATGCGGACTCCCCACTACAGTCTCTCCCCCTACTCTTCGTCGTGACTTTACTGCCAAGTGGGGATCGCCTCCCATTTATGATTTGACAACCCCGGTTCATATCACAAAGCATACGTGCGCATAGCATCCTGAGACCCTCAAGTACCTTGGCTCAGCCGGAGTGGCTCAGCTATTCTAACTTGTCGTTCGTTACACTCGATTAACCGAACTCCCCGGCTTTCTATTCACACCAACGCCGAGCAACTGGATTGCTGGATTTATTTATTTTTCATTTTCTTATTCTTTTCAAATTTCTTATTTCCGTCTCTTATACCGTTTTCCCACGCATTTAGATCTGTTCTTAGCCCCGGCCGGCCACGCACGACTTACGAATCCGTTCCACTGTACTTGATACACCCCTCGCCTGCTTCGCCTTAGACGGCTGTACATATAACTAAACAATCTAGGCGCCCACTGATAGAAGTTACCTTCGATGTTTAGGTTATAGCATCTGGTCCTGTTATTGTAAGCTTCGGACTGGTGTGATAAAAATTATCTCGACGGCCTTCAATCTTCACTATGAAATCGACAATAGTGCTTGCCCTTGTGGCAAGTGTCTCAGCCATTCCGGCAAATGCACGTAATTTACAGAGTAGTACCAGCCATCCAAAAGTTATAAACTTGGCCACAGAACGGAAGACCATATCAGATCCAGTAAGACGAGACCGTTTACGGCGGAGAGATGGTACTTTTAGAGCAGAATTAGACAACGAGGTATGATATGAGAATGTTAGGCGTTCGAATCTGTGTTTCTTACTAAGCCATCAACAGGAGACACTATATTTCGTGAATGGCACACTAGGAACGCCAGCGCAGTCAATACGTATGCACCTAGACACGGGTAGCAGTGATCTTTGGGTGAACACTGATTCTTCACCCCTCTGCTCTCAGAGGTCGGATCCTTGCTCTTTCGCGGGAACCTATAACGCCAACTCTTCTTCCACTTACGAATATGTGGGAAGCTGGTTCAACATATCTTACGTTGATGGCTCCGGGGCGAGCGGAGACTATGTCACTGACACGATTAAAATCGGTGATTTGTCGCTAGAGAAGTTCCAGTTTGGAATTGGGTATCAAAGTACTTCCGATCAAGGTATCCTCGGTATTGGATACCCCGTCAACGAGGTGCAAGTCGGCCGGGCTGGAAAGGATGCGTATGACAATCTTCCGAAGAAGATGGTATCGGCCGGACAAATCGAAAGAAATGCTTATAGTCTTTGGCTGAACGATTTGGATGCGAATAGAGGTAGCATTCTGTTTGGAGGTGTCGATACGGCGCAATACACAGGAAGTCTCCAGACGCTTCCTATCCAAGCCAATGGCGGTGTCTTCTCGGAGTTCCTGATTACTTTGACCTCTCTATCAGTGGGGAACAACACTATCGCCGATAACCAGGCACTTGCTGTCTTGCTAGACTCGGGCTCCTCGCTTACCTATCTACCTGATAGCATGGTCGCGGGGATCTACGATGCGGTTAGCGCGCAGTATGACTCGAGCCAAGGCGCGGCGTACGTACCATGCTCCCTAGAGAGCCAAACGGACACGATCGACTTCGTTTTTTCAGGACCGAAGATCTCGGTAGAAATGAACGAACTTGTGCTGGATTTGGTGACGACAACGGGACAACGCCCTACGTTCTCGAACGGCGTGGAGGCATGTCTGTTTGGCATCGCCCCAGCCGGCTCGGGAACGAACGTTTTGGGCGACACCTTCCTCCGATCAGCTTATGTCGTTTACGATCTCGACAATAATGAGATCTCGATCGCACAGACCAACTTCAACACGACAGAGTCGAATGTGCAAGAAATCCCTAGTGGCGCTGGCATTCCTGATGCCACCGCAGTTACTAACGCCGTTCAAGCGACAGAGGGTGTCGTACGAGGTAGTGGTAACGGAAGCACCGGCTTGGGCGATAGTACGGATGGCGCTGCAATGACGAGTGCCTCCGTTTCAGCGGTGGTCCTATTCCTGTCCTTCGGAGTGGCCACGCTAGCCACGATACTATAAATATACGGAGATTATACCCATACTGTTCTGATCCGGATTATTGGATGGCATAAGCATTGTAGGGCGTTAGGGTTGCATATAAGTTACTTCGGATTCGACATGGCCGATTTGTTTTTTTCTCTTGGCATTGAAATACCGGTATAGATGACCGACAGACATCGAGATTTAGGTACATAGGTAGTTGCATGATATCTGTGGTAGCGTTTGTTCGTTTAGCATGGCCATATTGATGATGGATATTTAGCACCGTGTACGTACGGGTGGTTACATAGATTCGCGCCGCAATTTAAATTACACGTTTATTGTGTCAGGATTCGTTGTTGTGTGAAAATGTAAAGGAATAAAAACCTGAATACGACTGATATTATATACTAAGATACCTTATTGCTATTAGGCGGATTAATATTCGAGACGGAGATTATCTAGGGAATCATGTTTGGCTAGTACTACGCGAGAGGACTTTACTAGGTGACCTCAGCGAGGCGTGATTAATACTCTCAGTACAGTTTCGATATCTCTTCACCTTCGCTACCGTCTAGGTACGGAAAAGGACATATATCACGACAAGACACTGAGCATATAGAATAGATCATATCAGGAAATATAGCTTTAGATTTTAGGTCTTGATCTGAGACCGTCAGACGAAGCATGCTATCTCCTAATTTCATACCAACTCTTCAACTTCCCAACCCCTGAGGCCCTTCTAGCTAAGGAAGGCAATAATGAGGTACATAGCCTCTCGCACCACTATCATTCTAAATACTCGTCACAGGCGCCTGAGCAAGAGGCAAGCGACGAAAAGCGGATTCGGTCCGCTATGAATAGATACAGACAAACACTTCGACTGTATGTACGTATGTATGTATGCCTGCCGCGTTCTCTACAACGAACGACGTTACTTGGTACAGCATATACAACACACATACATAATATATATATGCTTTCCAACCATCATAACCCGAGACCGTCGAAGCAAAGCAAAGCAAAAAAAAAAAACGAAATAAAAAGCAGAAAACAGGATTAACTCCAAAGCAAGGCAGAGAGCAAAAAAACGAAAAACATATCGGTACTCCGCGCACCGAAATTTTTTGACCCGTCCCGCCCCTCCCCTACTTTTCTCTATGCAGGAAAAAAGCGAGATGGACCAAACAATACAGGGAGTAGTAAAAAGGAAATTTTCTCAGTTGCCCGTCGCTGGCTCTAGGGTGTGTGTGTGTGTGTGTGTGTGTGCTGTGGTGATGTGTCGATGATAAGAAAAGCAAAAGCAAAAGCCAAAAGCCAAAAAAAAACCAAGGTATTCTCGCGGAAACGACAGATGCGAAAGGTATACATGGATATGATATGCCTCCTCTCCCCGCCCCGTAAGCCAAAAAGCCGTGGTGTCTATATCAATCAATAGCAAGATATCAAGCACAACAGTGAACGGACATGTATGTATGTATGTATGTCCGCCGCAATAACATAGAAAACCGCGGGTCGTTCAGCCCCCGAAAACTCCTGGCTGGCTCCAAGGCCGCGATGGTGGTGGTGGTGGTGGTGGTGGTGGTGATAGGGTAGTAGTAGTAGTCTATATCCGAAAACCAATAAGTCAAAGAAAAGCTT